AAAAAAAAAAAAAAAAAGCAGCTATGATATGATAAAGAAATGAGACTTAAAAATTAGAAGAGGGCAGGGCGTGGTGGCTCATGCCTATAATCCCAGCACTTTGGGAGGCTGAGGTGAGAGGATTGCCTGAGCCCACAGGTTTGAAACCAGCCTGGGCAACTTGGCAAGACCTCATCAAAAAATTAGCTGGGCGTGGTGGCGTATACCTGTGGTTCCAGCCACTTGGAAGACTGAGGTGGAAGGATTGCCTGAGCCCAGCAGGTCAAGGTAGCTGTGGCCATGAGCATGCTGCTGCACTTCAATCTGGGCGACAGAGTGAGACTCCAACTCAAAAAATAAAAATAAAAAATTAGAAGAGAATTGCAATTGTCCTTATTTGTAGACAGCATTGTCTATAAAGACAAACGAAGAATATACAGGATGTGAGAACTAGTAAGAGGGTTTGTCAAGGTAGCTGGATGTCAAATAATTATACAAAATTTAAAAACATTCTCAGCCGTGTGTGGTGGCTCCCATCTGTAATCCCAGCACTTTGGGAAGCAGAGGCAAGAGGATTGCCTGAGTCCAGGGGTTCAAGACCAGCCTGAGCAACATGGCGAGACCTCGTCTTTACAATAAATCAAAAAATTAGCTAGGCAAGGTGGCACATACCTGTGGTTCCAGCTACTTGGAAGGTTGAGGCGGAAGGATCATCTGAGCCCAGCCTGGGCAAGTGAGACCTCCACCCAAACATACCAAAAAAAAAAAAAAATTCTCAGTTGACTTGTGAGTAGGACTCCAGAGAGTATGAGGGGGCAGCAGGGACCCAGCTGGATGCAGTCACAAGGCACCATCCACCACACTTGCATTACTCTCAGCTCCCTCACACTGATGCAGCTGTACTCAGGGCGTGCTAGGATTAGGGTGCCAAGAGCAACGGAGCTTGGAACGTCTCCCATAGAGCAGAAAAGGTGACAGGCATGAGGTCCAGGACGTTTTTAGTGGGTTTAAAAGATGGCATAACAGGCCCGGCATGGTAGCTCACCTGTAATCCCAGCACTTTGGGAAGTGGAGGCAAGAGGATTGCCTGAGCCCAGAGGTTCGAGACCAACTTGGGCAACTTGGTGAGACCTCGTCTCTACAATAAAAATTTAAAAATTAGCTGGATGTTGTGGCACGCACCTGTAGTTCCCGCTTCTTGGAGGGCTGAGGCAAAAGGATCGCCTGAGCCCAGCATGTCTAGGCTGTGGTGGCTGTGATTGTACCACTGTACTTCAGCCTGGGAAACAGAGTGAGACACTGACTAAAAAAACAAACAAACAATATATATATATATATATATATATATATATATGTATATATATACATATATAACCAGGGACCTGAGCTTGGGCAGCATGTATACAATCTTTTTATTATTTTTTTTGGAGTTGGAGTCTCACTCTGTCACACAGGCTGGAATGCAGTGGCACACTCACGGCTACTGCATCCTCGACCTGCTGGGCTTAGGCAATCCTTCCACCTCAGCCTTCCAAGTAGCTGGAACTACAGGCATGTATCACCACGCCTGGCTAATTTTTGATTTATTGTAGAGATGAAGTCTCGCCAAGTTACCTGGACTGGTCTCGAACCCATGGTGCTCAGGCAATCCTCTCATCTCGGCCTCCCAAAGTGCTGGGATTATAAATGTGAGCCACTGTACCCGGCAGCATGTGTACCATCTTGATGGAGCTGGTCATTGCTGGTGGAAGGTGAATGGCCAGTGAGCCTGGAGCTGGTGGTGGCTCTTGGACAGAATGACAGAATATTGTGGGGAGAGCCTGAGACACCCGAAGCTGCCAACATGTCTCAAGGGGCACCAAGCTAGCTTGGACTCCCTCAAATTCCCAAAGAAATGCTGCCTCACATACACTGCCCTTTCCCTTGCCTGCTTTTCCCCTAGGTGGTACTGTTGAGTGCTGCAATTGTGAAATCCTTTGGCCTGAGCAACAACTTCCATGCTAAGCTTAAGGAGCACTGTGAAGGGGAGGGCTGGCGCAGCCAACTCTCCATGTCAAAGCTTGATGCTTTTTTTTTGAGTTGGAGTCTTTGTCGCCCAGATTGGAGTGCAGTGGTCGCTCCTGGCCACCACAGCCTCGACCTACTGGGCTCTGGTGATCCTTCCGCCTCAACCTTCCAAGTAGTTGGAACTACAGGCACGCACTACCACGCCCAGCTAATTTTTTGGATTTATTGTCAAGATGAGGTCTCGCCAAGTTGCCCAGGCGGGTCTCGAACCCGCGGGCTTAGGCAATTCATTCACCTCGGCCTCCCAAAGCATGGGATTACAGGCTGAGCCAGCGAGCCCGGCCAAAACTTGATGCTTTTTATTAACTTCCACTTAAACAGACATATTAGACCGTAGGAATCCTCTTTTCACAGTTTAATAACTAATTTTTATGTGGACAACTAGACTTTTGCTGATTAAATGTGATCTTTGCTAGCTAGATATCAGATCCCGTATTTTAGAGCAAAAACTCTGTCTCTACAGTGTTGTCTGCTGAGTGTTCAACAACCCTGGCCCATCTGCACTGATGACAAATAAAATAATGTAGAATATGAAAATATTGAATACTTTCTGGACTTTCTGATAGGGAAGGATTTCTTAAGCAGGATGTGAAAAGTATAAACAACAAAGAAAAAGGATGACAATTTTGGCCACATTAAAAACCTAACCAAAAGTAGCTGGGCTCACGCTGGTAATCTCAGCACTTTGAGAGGCGGAGGCAAGAAGATTGCCTGAGTCCAGGAGTTCACGACCAGCTGGGGCAACTTGGTGAGACCTCATCTCTACAATAAATCAAAAAATAGCCAGGCATGGTGGCTCATGCCAATAATCCCAGCACTTTTGGAGGTGGAGGTAAGAGGAATGCCTGAGCCCGGGGGTTCGAGACCAGCCTGGGCAACTTGGTCAGACCTTGTCTCTACAAGAAATTAAAAAATTAGCCAGGCATGGTGGCATGTGCCTGTAGACCCAGCTACTAGGGAGGCTGAGGTAGAAGGATCACCTGAGCCCAGCAGGTCGAGGCTGTGGTGGCCATGAGCATGCCATTGCACTCTAGCCTGGGCGACATCAAGACTCCGACTCAAAAATAAATAAAAAATAAAATAAAATAAATTAGTTGGGTATGGTGGTACATGCCTGTGATTCCAGCTACTTGGAAGGCTGAGGTGGAAGGATCACCTGAGCCCAGCAGGTTGAGGCTACAGTAGCTGTGAGCATGCCACTGTACTCCTAATCAGGTCGGGTGTGGTGGCTCAAGTCTGTAATCCCAGTACTTTGGTAGTCCAAGGTAAGAGGATTGTCTGAGCCTAGGGTTTCAAGACCAGTCTGGGTAACTTGGCGAGACCTTGTCTCTATGATAAATCAAAAAATTAGCTGGGCATGGTAGCATGCACCTGTAGTTCCAGCTACTTGGAAGGCTGAGGCAGAAGGATTGCCAGAGCCCAGTAGGTGGATGCTGGGGTGACTGTGAGTGTGTCACTGCACTCCAGCCTGGGCAACAGAGTGAGAACTCCAACTCAAACAAACAAACAAAAAAACAACAAAAAAACCTAACCAAAAGATGCTTTAGCCAGAGGAAAAAGCAAGCTCAAACTTGAATCCAAAACTGACCTATGTAACTCAAAGTCACTCTTGCCCAGGCTATACATAGGGTCTACAATCCACAGATAAAGATGGCCTGAGAGAAAAAGTGGCTGAGGACACAATGGGGCTGTTTTCCCAAGGGAAGTTCAAGTGGTGAATAAGCAGGTACATGGTCCACCGTCCCTGCCTGATGGTCCCAACCAACAATGGCTGGGGAGGAGTGTGCTTGGCTCTCATTCTGGGCAATCTACTCCCTGGTGTCCAGCCAAGTGTAGACCCACACCCCCACCTGGTTCCACTCCCCTGTCTTCTACAGCCTGTCACATGCAGTGGTATAGAGACTTGCTACAGTATGTTTGCAGAAGCATTGTCCTCCATGTCCCTCCACCGAGAAGGCTAAGTTGGTTGGCATCCTGGGAATACATTGAAATGAACTACAGACCTGAGGTCTCCAGCAACTAGGTTGCTAGCTGTTCACATGCTCTGGGACTTTCATTCCCTGTACCTCTTGTGACCCTTAAGAATAACTACAGGGTGGGGGAAGAGGCTGGTCTTGCCAGCCTGGGGAGGGCCACGATGCTCTGCCAGTTGCTGACTTGGCTCCTGGGAGCGAGGTTCACTTGTCTGGAGGCCATTCTAGTGTTAAAGGGGGAGAGCTGCCCGACTGTGTTTGGGTCCCCTCTTCCCCCACTGCCTTGCTTTCCTCCGAGAAGGTTGTGGACCAGAGCCATGGGCTCCCAATGCCAGGTGCCCCAGACACCTGCTGGCTTCTCAGACTGAGCACTGTGCTTCCTTCATCCCAGAGCCTGTTGGATCCTGGCACATTTAGCCTGGCTAGAGTGTAAGGCCCCCCCATGTACTGTCATGGACCAGCGTGTCCTCATCCCTGCAGGACCTCCTGGCAGTGTGTGGGGGCCAGCCAGGCACACACCTGGATGATCTTCTCTGGGATGTTGGAGACAGTAAAGCCGTAGAGCCGCACCCGCTCTGGGAAGATGCTGGACAGGATCCTTCGGTCCAGCTGGAAGGCGATCTCGCCCACCAACCTCTCCCAAGCCAGCTGCTTCGACTCTGAGGACACAGGGTCTCATCAGCAGAGCTGCTGGTGAGAGAGGGGGAGGGGCCATGGTCGGCAGCCCATGCTCGTGGCAGGGAGATAGCCTGGGCATCCCATCCACTCGTGCTGAACCCCTATGGCATCACTGACCTCGGGTGCTTTCGGGAAACTTGCTTATCTTGCGGTGAGCCAGCTTCCGCTCCACTTCCACCATGCTTTTCCGAGACGGATCCGCGGTGCGTGGACCCTGCGATTCGTTGACTGAAGCTGGGGAGGATGAAGCTCGAGGCGGGGATTGGGGATTTCGTGGAGGAGGGGGGGCTGGCAGGTTCCGGGTAGGAGTGTGCTGCGTTCGAGAGGGTGAGTGGTGGGTACTATGGGTGGTACGGGTGGTGCTTGGGGAGGTGTAGCTGGTGGCGGCCTGGGGAGCAAGGTTTGGGGCAGAGGCAAGGACAGAGACATTGGGGGAGGCAGTTGAGGAGGCAGGGACAGACACAGGGACCACTTGTCCTTGAGGGGCACTGGGCTGGGCCCGGGTATCCGAAGTGTTGTAGGTGAAAGCTGTCGCTGGAGCAGGTGTGCCCATGGTGCTGATTGGGGTGGAAGTCTGGAGGGGTGCATCCACAGACGCCATGCTAAGAGTCTCTGGGTCCTGGATCAGCCGGGGAGGCCCAACAGAGATCGAGACTAATGATGTGGGAGGAGGCAGAAATAAGAGGAGGGAGATTAGAGTGAGGTGAGTGGGGACCAGGGACTGGTCTGGGAGGCGTCCCACCCATAGCATCTGTTACCTTTGGGGATGGCAGCCGGTATCACACAAGCTGAGTGGGGCCCAGTGGGGCATCCAAGGAGTGGCTCTGCCAGTCGCAATCTTGGGGCCTCTGATGGCACCACATTGCTCATAGGGTTGGCCACAAGGTTCTGAGGGACACCTAGAGGGGCAGTGGCAGAGCTGAGTAGTGGGCTGCTTAGAGAGACAGGCACTGTGCCTGCAACAGGGGATATCAGGGGGCTGCTTTGAGAGATGGCCATAGGGCCAGCCATGGGGCTGCTGGGAGTTAAGGGGCCAGTTGAAGGCAGGCCCAGGGAGCTGGACAGTGTGGCCCCAGGGGGCGCTGTTGCAGAGCTTGTCAGGTGGCCGCTGAGGGGTCCAGTTGAAGGAAGGCCCAGAGAGCTAGCTAGTGTGCCCCCAGAGGGTACCGACATGGAGTTGGTCAGGGGTCCAGTTGAGGGCAGGCCCAGGGAGCTAGCTAGTGTGCCCCCAGAGGGCACCGGCATGGAGCTGCTCAGGGGTCCAGTTGAGGGCAGGCCCAGGGAGCTAGCTAGTGTGCCCCCAGAGGGCATCGGCATGGAGCTGGTCAGGTGGCTGCTCAGAGGGCCGGTCAGGAGGCTAGTGAGTGGGCTGCTCTGTGATGCAGGTGCCAGGCTGGACAGCAATGTGCTGAGAGGACTGAGGGGGCTCACAATAGAGCCTGTCGTGGGGCTTGACTGTGAGTTGCTTAGCAAGGCCATAATCCCCATTTCATCCAGGACTGGTTCATTTGCTGCTGCTGGGGATGCAGGCATGAAGACACCTGGGGACACAGAGAAAACACTAAGACCCCAGGTGATCCCCTCCGGGAGCACAAGGGAGGGCAGTTCCAGACTTTCACACCATGGCAGGGTCTAGCCAAGGTTCTTATCTGTCTGATATGAGCTGACTGATATGATCTGGCTTCTCTGAGTCCCATTTCTTAAGTGGGCTGGGGTGGTAACCTCTCTGCCCCCACAGGAAATCTGTGCCTGGCTCAGAGGATCCTAAACATGCGTCTACCTTTTCATTTCTCAGCCCCAAGGCCTCATCTCTAACCTTGATTTTCGGGTCAGTTCTCCCAGGTTCTCTTCTCTGACCACCTTCCCCCTAACCACAGGGATGTCCTGCTGTCCTCCCCTTAATTGTAACCACTGTGCTGAGCTGCTGATCCCCTTGCCCGGAGAGGAGGGTCTCCTAACAGTTAGATGCATAGGTCACTAAGTTGGTCTCTATGTTCTCTGGTGAGGAGGAGAGGACCTCCTGACCGTGAGTCATTGTGGGGTAGGACAAACCCCATGAGGAAGAGGCCCCTCAAGGGGTCAGAGCTCCAAAAGGCAAAGCCTCATGTGGCCCAACACCACCTCTGCAGGGCTTGGCATGGCACCTGAACAGAGAATGCAGGTCAGACCCAGCCGTGCACACCAGAAGCTCAGACTCATTGCTTTATACTCTGGACTCCTGCATGGGGCTGGGAACCTATTCTCTTTTGGTCCTGAAGGAGTGTTCCCTTCACTACCACTGTTTGGGGAAGAAGTCCCTTCGGGATGGAGTTGCTGGCAGGGAATAGGATAAGGGGAGCAGAAGTGCAGAAAAGATTTTTGTGAGTATGCAATTTCATCAAAAATTTCCAAATTTTGGGGATTGTTCTTTTTTATTATAAAGATGTGGGGTACAATTCAGAGTTAGGTATATAAACGTTGATTCTGCAGGTACCCTTGTCGATGAGGTATGTCCCTCCTTCCCCTAGTAGTTTCCCTCAACTACCAATCCCACCCCCCATCCCCCGGCAGTTTCCCACCACTGCCAGTGTTGTTATAAATGCAGTAAATGCTTGTTATAGAGAAAGAATGGAAATACATAAAATTAAAAAAAAAAAGATGAAAACCACTGATAGTTTAATCATCCCATGGTTAGTCACTATTAAAAAGCTCCGTGTTGCCTTGGAGACTGTCTCTACATGTTTATATAGCTCAGGAGTTGGCAAACACTTTCTGCAAGGGGTCAGGTGGTAAATATTTCCAGCTTTGGCAACCATACGGTCTCTATGGCAACCACTCATGTCTGCCGTTGTCATGTGAAAGCTACTTCAGACAATCTGAAAGTGAATGAGGGAGGATGTGTGGCAATGAAATTTTATTTATGGATACTAATTTTTGAATTTCATGTACTTTTCCTGTGTCACAAAATGGTGTTCGTCTTTTGATTTTCTTTCAACCATTTTAAAATGTAGAATTTGTTCTTAATTCACAAGTTGTGCAAAAACTGTTGGTAGCCATATAGATTCCATGTTCTTTTGTACCCTGCCTCTTCTGACTAGACCTGTACACCATGGCAGCTTCTGGCATAATTCTTTGAAAACAACACCTATTGTAGTTGTAAAGATTTCCATCTTATGCACATGCCATTGTTTATCCCAATGATTGGGCATTTAAATTGATCCCAGGGGCAAATAACCCACTACATAAATTTGTATTATTGATTTTTTTTAGACATTTTTTTTGGACATTTTAGAGGTTTCCTCAGAAGAGTTCTGGTGTTCCTCTGGGTATGTTACTTCTATCTTTGCTGATGTTAACACTCCACAATGTGTGGCAAGATGTTCTGTTGCTTTATTTGCCTTTATTTATTTATTTATTTATTAAAAAAATTTTTTTTTGAGTTGGAGTCTCACTCTGTCGCCTAAACTGGAGTGCAGTGGCCACTCCCAGCCACCGCAGCCTCGACCTGCTGGGCTCCGGCAATCCTTCCGCCTCAGCCTTCCAAGTAGCCAGAATTGCAGGCATGCGCTACCACATCTGGCTGATTTTTTGATTTATTGTAGAGATGAGGTCTCGCTGCCCAGGCAGGTCTTGAACCCGCGGGCTCAGGCAATCCACTCACCTCAGCCTCCCAAAGGCGCAGGATTACAGGCTGAGCCACTGAGCCTGGCTTATTTACCTTTTAATTTATAAATTTTGTTTTGTTTTCCAAACAAATCAGAATTGCATAATCGAATTAACTGGTCTTTTATGATTTCTTTTTTTTTTGAGTTGGTTTCTCACTCTGTCAACCTGGCTGGAGGGCAGTGGCACACTCCTGGCCACTACAGCCTCAACCTGCTGGGCTCAGGCAACCTTTCTGCCTCAGCCTTCCAAGTAGCTGGAACTACAGGCATGCGCCACCATGCCCAGTTAATTTTTTTAAAATTTACTGTAGAGATGAGGTCTCACCAAGTTGCCCAGGCTGGTCCCAAACCCGTGGACTCAGGCAATCCTCTCACTTCGGCCCCTCAAAGGGCTGTGATTATAGGCATGAGCCACTGCGCCCGGCCTTTTTATGATTTCTTGTTTTGATTTTTTGGGGGAAAGTTTTGTTTTAGGATCCAGGAGATGATAAAGTTTGTGAGCCTAGGGGAAGCAGCCCATCAAGAGAAAAAACTTGAAAGAGAAGAAACAAAGGATGGGGCAAAGAGCCTGGTGAGGAAGAAGGATGGATGAACTGGATATGTTGAGGTGGAGGATGGAGATAGGATTTAGGTTGTCTGTGCTTCTTGACCTCCATTTCTTCAGAGGGCAGATCCCAGGGTTTGGGTGATATGGGAAAAGTCTATTTGGGCAACCTTTTCAGGATGGTGAGAGAGAGGTGGTCATGGGTCACTTTCCCTGCACAGCCAGGGCAGCTGAGAGGACACGTGGTCCCAATGTTTGAAGCAACCAGACAAGGAGAGAAGGCAGGACAGAGGTTTCCTCTTGGTGCCTGTTCTCGGAAGGTGATCATTGTGGAGAGACTGGCCAGCAGGGACACGAGGGAGAGGAGCATTGGATGGGCTTTGGCCCTTGTCCCTGAGGGAAATGATAAAATCTACTTTGGCTAAGTTGGATTCCAGGTAAAACCATCAAACAGAACAAAGAAAGTAACTTCATGGTTACCAATTCACAGAAAGTACAACACAAAAATATATAAAGCGGAAGCCACAGGGACTCCCAAGAGGTGCTGGAGTGGTACGTGCGCATAGACCCAGGCTGGAAGAAATAATGATGCAGGGGTATGGGTGATGGTATTACAAAGCCAGCCTACTGTCTAACTCAACACTACACATGGAGGGGTTGGTGTGACTGCTGTGACCTAGATGCTGTTCCTATGAGGACAGTATAAGAAGAAAGTGGGCAGCACTTAGTATATTTGGGTGAGGGAGTTGGGGCGCCAGCAGTGGGAATGTGGGATGCAGGGAAGGCCAAGTTCAGATCAGAGACAGAAGCACTAGGATAATACTATGGGGGGAAGGCAGGTGGGTCTGTGGAAAGTGGGGGCCTGTGGAGAGCAGGGAGCAGATGTCTGTCCTCGGAAAGATTCAGCCTATTTGTTAGTGGGAAAAGCTGACACAAGCAACTACCAAAAAAATCATTCAGCAAATTATGAAATGTAGCTTAATGTGAAATCATTTAAAGTGCTATTTGCAAATAAAATATGAGGACAAAATGAAAATGTTTATAATAAGTATTAATGTTGTTGTATAAAGTATAGAAATATAGATTAAACACTGATATTTGCACTCTCCATTCTGTTTGAAAAATAGGTAAATAAATAATAAATATTCCTCATGTGTCTGTCTGGTGATATTGGGGGGATATGTGGGGGTGGGTGTATGTGAATGTAGAGTTGATTTTTCTTCTTCTTTATATTTCCATGTACTTTCCACAATTTTCACAATAGGTATATGTATATTATATTTTATTATTTTATTTTATTTGAGTCAGAGTCTCACTCTGTTGCTCAGACTGGAGTGAAATGGCACGTTCATAGCCACTGCAGCCTTGACCTGCTTGGGCTCAGGCGATCCTTCCCCCTTAGCCTTCCAAGTAGCTGGAATTACAGGCATGTGCCACCACGCCTGGCTAATTTTTTGATTTATTGTAGAGACGAGGTCTCCACAAGTTGCCCAGGCTGTTCTCAAACCCCTGGTCTCAGGCAATCCTCTCGCCTCGCCCTCCCAAAGCGCTGGGATTACAGGCTTGAGTCACTGAGCTCAGCCAGGAGTATATATTTTAAAAGACAAACTTAATGAATAAAAAAGTGCAATAAAAATGAGAATGTATTTCTCCTTGCTTTTATCCTGATCCCAAGAGAGTCCTGAGCCCTGCTCACACCCAACAACAGGCCAGGCTCCCGAGGGCAGGACTGGTCCAGGGATGGCTCAGACCTGAAGGGATGCATCAGACCAAGACCATCATGGATGGAGGTTTATGCTTCCTCCCCCAGCCTGCATGTCAGGGAGGCCCAAGCCCAGCCCTTTTTGTGACATCTGGCTTTCTTGCCCTCCAGCACTCCCTGGACAACCTGATCTTTCCCAGGTACCCTCCTGTCTTTCCTGTATGTCCCATAAGACTGACTTCAGGCCCTTGTGGTCAACTGGGAAGGGCCCTGTAAATAGACAGTCAGCTTCAGGGGAATGAGGGAGAGGAGCTCAGATTGATAGAAGTGATAAGGGATTTTCAAGTCCAAATGGCCTGAGTGCATCATGCCTACAAGACCTTAACCTCAGCTCTTTCAGGTAGAGCAGAGAACCCTCAGGACCACATCCCTATCAGGATTTCTCCTTCCTTCCTTTCCAGATGGGATCAGTCTACCAATGCTGAATATTTATGTGGTCACCTCTCCCAAGTCCCTGTGCCTCTGTTGATGGCATTTCCCAACCTATTTCAGCATGAATTGAGAAAAGCCAACATTAGCATGAAACCAGACCCCAGATGGGGACACTAGGGGTCCTAGAGTCACTGAGGACAGTGTTTGCCTCCTATGCCA